AGGGGGGGAGGGCAGGGAGGGAGGGAGGGAGGCGAAGACCGAACGAGGGCGAAAAGGAGAGGGAGAGCGGCAGAAGGACGGAGAAAAAGAGAAAGAGAAAAAAGAAGGATGACGAGATCAGGGTCGATGAACTGAGGATGTCCACCGCTGTTCGCCGAGTTTACTCACTACCGAAATATATATTGTTAGTCTCGATGGTCCGGAGTGGTCCCAGTGGGTCAGTGGTTCACGGGGCACCCAGAACCGAGCGCCTGCCGGAGATACGCTGTGCGCGCGCGCGCGCGCGCGCACGGAAACATCCTTTACGATTTCGGCTTTCATCCGTGCCTGGGACCACAAGGCAGATCAGTGCCATTTGCCAAAATCGGCGAACAATGATTATAGGAGATACCGCGCAGGATTATAGGTGCCTGGCATCATTCGCGCCCGCGCGAACGCGAGCGAGCGAGCCGACACCGACGGCGGGGGAGGGAGGGAGCAACGTACCGTGAAAGTAGGCGGTTAAATTATTCACGTCGGCACGTATCGAAATTCGCGCGTCGCGGTTACATTAGTTCTGCGCCAGGTGTATTTGTCGCGTCGTGCGCGCGCGCGCGCGCGATGTCGACTCGCGAGTTGAAGAATGCAGCTGTTGACCTCCCCCGACGACACTTGGAATTTTACGCGGGAATAGCTTTTTTCATTCGTCCATCGAGAGGCGGACATTTGATCAAATTCCTCGCCCGACAGGCTTCTCGGCCTGTCTCGCCGGAGAAACAAACTGCAGAGGGGAGGTCTTTCCGTCGGCGCATCCTTCACGCGTGTTTCGAAGGAATTATCGTCAACACTCGAGAGAGCGTTACGTACCGGCTGGAAAGCGCTCGATAGGCGTTTTCGGCCCGATAAATTTGCCGCGCTGCAAGTAGCGCGTCGTTTGGTGGAAGCGTGTCGAGTAGGCAGGTATGTCGACAAGGCGAGTGATCGACAAGGCGCCTCGCTCGGAGGCATCGTCATCGGTCGATTTTATTTGGCGATCCCGAAAGGAAGAAAGGAAATCGGCGTTGCAGAAGCGACGCGCGCGCCTCGAGGATCGTAAAGCAGGATAAAGAGGTTAACTGTTGCGCCGCGCTAAAAATACCTCCGTCGCGCGCGCCTTCGCACCTCGCTCGCTTCCGTCCACTGCATCTCACGAGGAAACATATGGAGGTGTCGCTCGAGCCGAGTTTCGCGGCTTTTCGCTACTTTTCACGGGGCATCGGGAAACGGGAGACGCGCATTTTCTTCTCTTTTATGCGCTTTCCCGCGCGTTTAGCGGCCGAAGCGAACCCTCGAAAAATATCCCCGGTGGGATCGAACGCGTGCGCGTTCAACTGCGCATTCTGTTTTATTTATTTATTTATTTACTTATTTATCTTGCTCATCTTTAATCGCTCCGCGATCCACTATCCACAGTTTCTCAGCGCTCCTTTGTCGAGTCCTACGCGCTCGTAAGCTCCTTGCTCCTCGAGGTGAACCCTTGGACTACATACAATACTACGTACAATCGAAGGACAACAAGCGCGCGATAATCTCGCCTTTTCTCACGGCGTGTCCACGCGCCGCGAAATATACCTCGTTATTTTTTCTAGCTCCGGCAATTTTGGTGGTGTCCTTTTTACCATCGAAAGAGAGACACCAGCATCGTCAAAAAGCTTGCCAGCCTCGCCATCGTCGAATTACATCCGCCCGTTTCTTTTTGCTCGCGCTTGGTCGTCATATTTATACCCGCTATTTTTACCGGTCATCCGCTTGCGATACCTCGAAAACTCGCGCGAAAGGATCGCTTTTGCACGGCCGGCGGAGATGAAATTCGTGTTTACGTTGTTAAGCCGGGGCATAATTCGAGCAGGTCGAGGTGACTTTCGCAAAAAGAAAAGAGGAGAAGAAAAAAAGAAGGAAAAGGAAAAAGAAGAGGGAGAACTAAATGAACGTTGTGCAAGTGAAACTTCGCGGTGAAGACTTCCCCGCGGTGAAGACCGGTTACAGCACACGGTGTGCGCCGAGCGATTTCAATGGGCGGACGACAACACGGCAGAAGAAGTCGAGTGCGGTCGTGAAGATACGCCGCGCCGCGCCGCGCCGCGCGCGGAATAATCCCCATGTTCGGCCGCGTTACAATTTGCGTATCGATCATGCGCGCGACTCGTCGCATCGCACACACGCAGGTGTGACTTCCGAGGTGTCTTTATTCCCAGAAACGGCAGACTAATTCGGAGGTTCGCCTGCCTCGTCAACAGCCTCGTCAACCGCTCTCCGCTCCTTCTACTCCTCCCCCCCCCCGTCCGCCCCCGAAATCGCACTCGCTTCTCCGCGAGCCAGGTAAGAAATAGCAGCCAGGTGAGAGAGCATTCCGAGTGTGCTCTCGCGGCGGCAAAGAGACCGTTGACCCGCCACGTGGAGTAGCACGTGCATTCGCACGAGAGATTTCACGCGAGGGAGAACGATCGTTAGTAACTATCGCCCGGTTCTGCCGGTGCGCGCCGGGAGCAAGGAACTGCTAATGCGACCGACGCTCGTTAGAAATCTCTCACGTTCCTTGCGCCACGCGGCACTCGCCTGGCCTAATCGCTCGTTAGACAAGTCACGTGCCGCGAACGCCACGCTGAATTCGCCCCGCACGACGACGACTCCGCTTGGGAATAGCCCGAGCCGAGGTGACGACCGCGTCCCGGCTGCCGGGGAGTGCCGCGTGTCGCCGATGACGCTCTCGTGCTTTGCACCTGCACGAGCGTGTCTCGATCCTTCGACTTGCGTGCGAGAGATTATACTAGCCCGCTCTCGTCCGTCTGCCGACATTCGGAGAACGAACTGCCCCGCAACAAACTGGTCCACGGTCTCGCGTGTTGTACGAGGATAAAAAAAGAACTGGAAAGGATCCTTTTCTCTCTCTCTCTCTCTCTCTCACTCTGCATCTTAATAACCGTTAGACCGTCGACTGGCGGCCGTCCTGACGGTTTTATCACCTCCGAAAATTGGCGACTCGATTCGCGCGCGCGAACCAGTCGGAGTAACTCGCTGTCACGGGAGAGGCGTTTCGCAAAATAATTTCTTAGCCGGACAGGTAGCGAGAGAGTGAGAGAGAGAGAGAGAGAGAGAGAGAGAATCGAGGTGCGAGCGCGCAATAGAATTCGCGAGCGAGGGCCGAACGAGGCGCGGCAGCAAGTATAGAAGCCGAATGAAAGAGCGGAAGAAAGAAAAAAAGCCGAGCATCAAGTTTTCGGTCATTAGATACTCATAAAACGCGATATCCCCGCGTAGCGAGCGTGAAAGAGTCATTCTTGTTCGCTTGCGGTTCCAAGAAGTCCGGTTAGAATTTAGGCTACGAGGAGCTCCTACCCGAATCTGGAACGCCTCGGTCGTTGGCCTTGTCTTCGATTCCCTGCCTTCGAGATTTTCGGCTGCGACTCTCTGTGTGTATGCGTGATTGTACGTCTGCATGTTAAAAGAAGCAAGCTTTTATCTAACGCACATCTAGACCGGTTCGCACCGAACCTCCGCTCCGGTGTCGACCCTTGCAAATCGCGTGAGAGACCGTGCGCGTCCGGCAATTTCGCGCCATGACGAGCCCATGGGATACGCGGAAGAAGAAGAAGAAGAAGAAGAAGAAGAAGAAGAAGAAGAAGAAGAAGAAGCAGCGACCGAAATGCGAGCTAGAGACGTCGTCGTGTGGCAACTTTGTTGTTTATTTTTGTGCGACGTTTCCAGCAATGACGGTGCTACACTCTTGTGGTTGTTTCTTTGGTCGGCCTAAAGTAGAATCGACGTCGTTTCGCGCGCGAACCCTGCTGAGGGACAAACCAAGATCCTACTTCTCTCCGGTAACTTTACGTAACAGGATCACGGAACGGGATTTCCAGGATGATGGATGGCGAGATGGCGAACAGGGGATGACACTCATTGTATCACAAACGCAACAATGTGTCGTCGCATATCGCGTAATTGACAAGTATCAAAGGAAATACCCAGCTGTCGCGTAATCAGCGCAGTCAATTCAACAATTGACCTGCCGCGCGATCCCCCACGGCTACTTGCACGCGCGAATGTTCGTCCTCCGTTTTGCTGCTGAAAGACCGAACCGCGATTTTTGTCGCCGCGTCGATTTGTTTAATCGTTCATCGGCGCTCGATGGCGATCGCGGGGTCGCTACCGTTAATTTCGCGCGCGCGCTTATAATTGCACGCCTTTTTCTCTCGCCTCGAACGTGCGCGCGGGCCGGGCGAAGATCGAGGCGAGGAGGAGATGGGGCCCCGGACGTGCGGCGGAGACGGGGAGGTCCGGAGGGAAAGGCACGAAACGATTCGAAGATAATATACCGATGTACTGAATTACGCGGCCGGCTACCGAATCATTTTGACCCACATCCGCGGATCGCCGTCGCCTCGAGGCGTCGGGATGCCGGAGATCCGATCAGGCGCCTTCTTCTCGGGCGCTCCTTTGTCGGGTCCGCCGAGTCGGCGGTGCTCTGCTCGTTTTCGGAACGGCGGAACGGCGATACGAATGATGCGTCGCGATAGAGAGGATCTAAAAAACTACCCAACTGTCTTGCGCGGTTAATCAACGATCGATTGATCGGCGGCGACTTCTCCCGTCTCTATCAGGCCTCTGGGTCTCTCTTCGCCAATCGTGGATTCGCGTTGCAGGAACGCGAGTGACGACGGGAAGATGCAGCACAACGACCCCAAGATTTCTAAGACGAATAAATAAATAAATATATATATATATATATATATATGCATGTAACAAAGCGTTCTTCCCGGAAATTTCCCGCCGCTAGAAGAAGAAGACGGTTCCTTTTGCGTACACCGGAATCTCTGATAGCCGAAGCTTAATTAGTATTTTTCCCGCGCGCTTCCCGCTACGCAAATGTATCTTGACGTACAAGCTGCAATCACTCGTGATAATAATTCCATCGCAGCTCGCCCATTTTTCGTGAGGCGCTATCATGAGTCGCGACGGTTGCGGAGAAGATAAGCCGAGCGCGATTTGTATTCAGGCTGTGCTCGCGCGATTATATAGTTGGTGCTCTCGGCCTAAATAGTTTTCCGAAACGTCGCCGTCCCTGCGGTATGACGGTGATAATCGATGTCGCTAATTAATTCGCGGGCGGCGCTAATCTGCCGCTACACGGAGATTACCGTTAAAGGAGGATGCGGGAAGCGTTTACGCGCTTGTAAAAGCCGCACGCTCGGCGCGTCTCACCGATTTCCCGAGATAAACATCGGATTTGCATATCCGGTGGCCAAAAGCTCCGCTCCGGTGAATGTATCAGACGCGGAAAAGGCTCGCGTATATATATATATAAAGAAAGGAACGACACCCAGTCATGCCAGACCAAGTGGTGCTCCAGTTCGGAACAAAGGAACAATGGGCGCGACGCGAATAATTTTATTGCTCGCAGCGATAGGCGCCGGCTCAGGACGACTGCCGGCTAAGAGTCATCGGGAGTCCCGCGCGAATCATCCTGTGCCGCCCGACCCGCGCTTCGACGGAGTCTTCGAGGACGGCCACAATTACGAGGAGATCGGTAATCGAATTTTCAGCGGCAACTTCTTCAACTTGAGAATCTATTTCACGCGAGAATTTCGCCTCCGCAGCTGAGCGCGTAAACTCGTGGAAGCCGGATGACGCGGAGAATGTTTGGGAACTGAGTGGCCTGCACGAGGGCGACATAATGATCCACCCGGACAGCCAATCGTGGAAAAATGGCCTCCTGGACGCCACCGCGCGATGGCCCGGCGGTATCGTGCCCTATTTCATAGTGGAGGGCGATTTCGGTAATATGCCCTGCGTGTCTTCGCGAGCTATTATCAGCAATCTGCCTGCACGCTTAGTAATAAGTACAGCCTCGTGTAATCATTGCTGCACAGACCAGGACCAAGTGAAACTGGTCGAGGAAGCCATGGAGGAGTATCACGAGAAGACCTGTTTGCGTTTCCGCCCTTACAAGGACTCCGATGAGGATTACGTCAAGATTCAGGCGAAAAATTCAGGCTGCTGGTCCCTGGTGGGTCGTCACAATCACGGGCAGGTGCTAAATCTGCAGAATCCCGGATGCGTTCATCACGGTGTGGTCGTGCACGAGATCATGCACGCCTTAGGCTTCTACCATCAGCAGAGCGCCGCGGACCGAGACGACTGGGTCACCATACACTGGGACAACATCAAGTTCGGTACGAGCGCTTGCTGGACGAGCAATCGCGACGTCACAACGCGTCGCGATTGTCCGGTATATTCAATCGGCTGGCACCTTTCACGCGCATAAATTCCAAGCTGGCCAGATCGGACCAACGCGATTCCCTGCTTCGCTAATTTATATGTTTTCACAAGTAATTTCCAGATCGCGCGTGTGTTACGCAATCGAGCATTATTAATGCTTTTTTTACAGGCAGGGAGCACAACTTCAACAAGTATGATAACCGCACTATCACCGATTACGGCATCAGTTACGATTACAAGAGCGTCATGCACTACAGTTCCCATGCCTTCTCCAGGAACGGAGAACCTACTATTACGCCGAAGGTAACGACCGCGCGCGCGGCACCTGCGATGGTTCTATCGATTTCGGTCTGTTCTAAATGTTTACGCCGATTCGCAGAAAGAGAAGGTAAAACTCGGCCAACGAGACGGACTCAGCGAGAAGGACGTGGCCAAAGTGCAGGCAATGTATAAAGAGCAATGTGGCGTTCGCGAGCCGGAAGTAATCGGTAGCAGCGAGTCCTCCGAGGAGATTTCCATAGAATGGATGTTCGACAAAATTCACGCGATATAAGACGGTCGGATTTACACGTCACACGTGTGTCAAACTTGTCAATATGCACGGTCCAATGAGTCACGATGCTGTTGAAATTCTGTAAGCGATTATCGTGTTTATGCCTATATAGATACAAATTTGTTTATTACACTTGGCGCGACTTATAAAAATATCACAATATTTCAAAATTCGTGTCACAGTAAAATTATCAGTCTGTCTAAAAATAAAACATTTAAACTCATGACCTCAAGGCGATCAATAAGGCACGTCAATGGATGACAAGAGTCGAGTTTGATCCCTAAAATTATTCTCCTCGTTTCGTCCTACAATAAAATAACATCAATTGGCAGGATTTTTCTACTAATTGTAATACGTCAGTTGTTTCAATTCAGTTACGGCATCCTTGGCGGCCTGAAATGACATTTATTTAAACAGAGTTACATTTGCGTGTACGGCATTTTTAATCCTACGTGCATTTTCTCGCAAGTTTTGAGGACATATTTTTAATTTTTTACCCATTTTCGACCTTTACTCTTTCTTTCCTGGATATAGCGATACCTTTTTCTACTAAGAGAAATTATCTCTTTGCTGATAAGCAAAATTTTATTACGTTTACTCTTTAAATCTTCATTATTTTATCACTGCGTTATGTTTAAGTCGTAATCTTCTATTCGTTAAACATGCAAATATATTTGATTGTAGATAATATAATGTGTTTGTAAATATGACAAGCAATCAGAATATCGATCATATTATATCATCTACTCACGTTTCGCACAAACTCATCCTCGTCCTCCATTAAATCCTCAATGTGATTCCTCAATGAGCTATCCCACACTTGCTGCAACGCTCTGCAGCAAAATCTACCCAACAGCCTGACCATTGTGCACGTTCTTGCTCGCAAGTTGGTTCGTTGATGATTAAGGAGCTTCTTGAATTGTTCCACTGAAGCTCCTTGAACGAAGACACGAGCGCTCACACGTGTGTAACCCGTAAAATCAGAAGAATTGCGCAAAGCAATTCCTCAGTGACTCACCTGGCTCTTTCGTACGCAGCACGACTGCCTCCACCAGCTCAGCGTACTCTGGCTGAGACCGTAGTATGTTATTCAAAATCGCAACGAGATCCGCAACGACTCTCGCCTTCCTCTTTTCCAAGGTTAGCAGTTGCTGCAGAAGTGGCATTCCGTTCACGATGTAAACGGCGTCGCAAAACTGCATGAGAAATTGGTCTTGCTCGTGAACCAATCTACAAAGGACCAGCATCGAATATTCGAGAGCCTGCAGCTCGTCCGCGGACAGGGAGGATGCCGGTCTCGTTTCCGTGTTTGACTCACTTTCGGAACGTTCCGACATCAGCAGTTTTATCGCGTAAACGAGATTCGGTACTACTCTCACGTCCAGGTAAACCTGCTTGATCTTGCCGAGGTTCTCCTTACTGACCGGCACGGTGAACGGCAACGACAATAGACAAGCTACGTACTCGACGACTCGAGAACTGGCTGCCGAATTTCTCAGAGGAGAAACGAAGACGGAGACGCAGTTTTGTTGCAGCATCGAGTCAACCTCGCCTTCCATTATCTCTTCCATCGAGCTCTGCAGAAACGCGACCCACTCTTCGTTCTCGATCGGCCTCTCCACCGCTTTCGGATCCCAGTCTGGCAGTCTTGCGTGCTTCTTCGAGTTTCTCTCGCCAAACTCTTGCTCATAGTCGATGCTCAAGCTGCTCTGCTTGCAATCACCATCCCCGTGCGTCTGGTCCACGTGTGAGGAGCATTTTTCTGCATGTTGATGACCCACGTTAACCCCGTCGCCCTGGGCATTAGCGTGATGCGTCTCCGGGTCTACTTGTGGCCCCGAGTAATTATCAGCCGTTTGCTGTTGAATAGATTTAGGGTAACAACCCTCGGTCGGCTGCAAATTCTGCTGCACGTTCGCGTTGTGCGGGCAGTCGCTCTGACATATCGCGTGATCGGCAGCTAAGAGATCGCTTCTCAGAGATGCCCTGAGGCTGAGATTTCCCAACAGAACATCTACGCTGGCGCTGGAATCAGTGCCGCTTGGTTCACTACGACGTAATGCCTGACAGTGGTTTATCCCATACTGACAATAAGCGGGAGAAATTGGGTAACCTGGTTGCGACAGGCACGTTCGCTGACGGTACTTGCCCTCTTGCTCCTGCATCTTTTGAACCGCTCTCTCCACAAATCTATAGGAGCGTGAAGGAAGTCTAGTTAAGAAAGACGCATCGTGCGCACGTGATTCTGGACGAGCAATTATTTATATTATCGCTGTTATACTTGGACTGATTCGCAGAGCGTATTGCCAGGCTCTGTAACTGCTGCTGTTTTGCTCTCGCTTGACTCGCGGATAACGGAGTTGTGAACGGAGTGGGCACAGTACCACCGACTATTATAATCCGATCCTTGACGAACGGATGTTCGAGGAGAGCCGGCCAAGTTAATCGCTGGGACGGATCTTTCTGAAGTAATCCCTGCGTGTGTTCGTTGAAATTCATTGTGAGTCATACGCTGAATTAATGCTCCGTCAAATCCGTCGCTCCTAAATAAATATTCCTACCTGCAAGAAGCTCTTGCAATTTGACGAGATGAAATCTGGCCACTTTATCGCTTCGAATCTGATCAATTTAACCAAGTGCAGGATCGAAGTCGTTTGGAACGGAGGAGAGCCTACCACCAATTCGTAAATTATACAACCTAAGGACCTACAAGCCGAAATAATTTTTAAGCGTGCTTAAACGCAAATCAGGTATACCTAAGTCACAGTAAAGTGTAAAGTAGGACTGCAGTTTTTACCACAAGTCGGCATTGTGATCATAAGGACATTCCTCTATGAGTTCTGGTGCCATGTACAATGGTGTACCTTTGATCGATGTAAGTACGTGAGTACCAGTGCTCATACTACGAGCAAATCCAAAATCACACAGCTTGGCCACGCCATTCGCCTCCAGAAGAACATTTTGTGGCTTGAGGTCTCTAGTGACATTAATATCGTTATCATTTGTGCTTATATCACACACACACACACACACACACATACCAGTTCCGCACGCACGGACACAAACCTGTGCAGCACTCGGTTGGAGTGCAAGTAATAAAGAGCGGACACGAGATCGCAAGCTATCACTTGCGCTCTTTCCTCGGACAGTCTGCCCTCCTTATCCAGGATCTCATAAAGTTCCTTATCCGCATACTCTGTTATAACCACGATCTAGATCAGATATTCTACAAAACATCTAGACGTTTCTCATTTGCAAGCGTAGCTATAATTAGAAATACCTCATTGTCCGTCTCAAACGAGTCTATCATTTGCACGATATTTGGATGGTGCAAATGACGTTGAATCTCGCACTCCTGCCGCAAGCTCTTCAGCTCTTTAAATGACCTGCCGCGCTGCAGGGGTGAAGTGCACCAACGCACCAACATTAGTCATGAGTGTGAAATGGGGGAGTTATTTATAAACCTCTCTCTCAACTTTCACACAGAGCACACGTACCTTGCGTATTATTTTGAAGGCCACAACCTCGCCGTCCGACCGCTTCTTAGCTTTATACACCTGCCCGAAAGATCCCTCTCCGATCTGTCTCAAGATTTCGTACTTCTTCATGTTGAAACTTATCAAATAGATACAACGTTCAAACTGTATATATTAAAAAAGTGCGCTCCTCGTGTACGCACAGCATGCGCATGCGACGAAACAAAATACGCTCAACGCACACGAGAGATAGAGTGTGCGCTGAATAGAGACGGAAAATTAAATGCGCGAAAATCAACAAAAACGCGAGGGCACAGATTAACGGTCTATGCTCCTCTCTTCATCTCCTACTACCAACATCGGTGAGACAGCAGTAAAGACTCTAGTCTTGTGAGAGAATCTTGTGCAGCTTGAAAAATGCTGTGCACTAACGCCCCCTCTCGCCATACATCGTGACTAGAGTTAGAGATGGTAAATGAAAATCAATCAAAACTTGGCCGAAAAATGAGGCAAAAATTCCGACTGCGTAAAAAAAAATTATATTTTTCACACGGTTATTTGTATTTTGCGTAATATATCATCCAAAAATCGCAGTAATATTTATTATTAAAGAGTTAAAAGTGATCCGGCCAAGATAAAATACGAAATTGTATTTAGTGCTGAATTCTTTTTTATTTTTCAGAGAATTATGGTTGGTAAAAAAATTCATATTCATACATGTATTAACTTTTCGATAAGAATTTTACTACTTTGCTTCTTGCATTTGATTTACGGATCCGTGTACAGGAGAGGTATATGAGCGCTCTTGTGTGATCAATATTTTTTATTCTTCTCTTGTCGTTTATGATCACTACTGTGTTGTTTCGTACGATGTCTCTCGGACGATCTCTCACGATCGCGAGACTTGTGTTTCTTTTTGCTCTCTTTATCCCTGTGTCTGTCTTTACTTCGATGCCTCTCTTTTTTATGCGAGTTCCGATCTTTCGAATAGAAAGATTCTTTATGTTCGTTGTATCTATGCTTCCTGCGCAATTCGCTATATTCATCTACATATTTCTCCTGTTTATCTCGATCTCTTGATCGATGATGACTCTTCTTCTCCGAACGTTCTCTCCTCGAGTCATCTCTTCTGCTATAGCAGTGGCCGTTTCTCTCGCTGGTATTGGGATCGTCATAGTTTTGCGGCGAGTCATGAAACACTTTATACAAATAATCGCTTCTATCTGCTTCTGTCGTTTCATAATTCGAATCGTCCGTTTTAGCTTTCTGCATATCTGTTGTATCTCTAGAATTAGCTTGCTCAGAAATATACTCTGTATACATTTCCATCTGTTGATTTATCACTTCTCTGAGTACTTCAACATGAGATTTTTTGTTTGTATGGACACCTCTGTGCTTGGCTCTACGTCTCTTTAAATTACGCTCCTGCATCAATATTTCTAAGAAAGACAGCTCCTTGTCTTTTTTCTCTTCTGGTTTCCTGTTGAAGATGTTGACACATTGCATAAAATATAAAATAGTTACTGAACATACATATTTTCTACTTATTATAAACATTAGACAATCGAGCTTACAAGTTGTTAATGTCCGAAATGTCTTGCCCAATATCTGGTTTTGCAGTATTGGCAATAACATAATCATAAAACACTCTCCTTTCATCTCTGGTGAAATCTGTCACAAGTCTATCAGATGTATGCGGTATTAATCGCTCACCCGTACCTATCATCAGTGTTAAGAATTTACAAATTTGAAAATTGTAACAATATAACAATAAAGTACAATCAAGATATAGTAACAGTCTACAGTCTGAGATTTTTGTTGATTGTATTACTAAGCAGGAAAATGAAATGTATAGATTAAATTGCACATGTCAAATAATATCAGACGATACATGTACAAAAATGTTTTATAATATTTCCTTTATATAATTAAATACTGATCAAAGGATATGCAAAAGGATATATTGATTCCGCACCAAGTACAACACTCATAACTCGCTGGAAAAAATCAAATCATTTAAGATGCATAAGAGCGCACATCATAGACCTGTGTACTTTTACTAACCAGTTTGTATTGTTGGGTCTTGTTGTTTGGCCTTCCTCAGAACTTCATTTTGTAACTGTTCATCTACATCAAGCATTTCATACTAGTAAAATTTTTGTTACATTCTGTAAAGACCTGACAATTGTTCTACCCAGAAGTTGCTTACCAAATTTTACAGAAAATGATGAATCTATTGGCAATGTTTGTTCAGAAAATGGTAAATCTGATCCCTCATAACCTGCAGTTTTCCACTGACAAGAAATAAGATGGTCATTCAGCGAGTCTTCTACTAATTGGTGTGATGGATTATACGGACATGTAAGATACTCTTTGTCCTGTCGGAATAAAATGGTTAAACCATGTAGTGTCACTGTGTACGTATTTCTTTTTTTTTCTTATATTATATTTACCGCATTTGTCACACTCTCCACTGTCCAACCTAATGTGCCAACGATATCAGCAATTTGTTTGTTAACTGCATCAGTGAAACTTTTCAATTCTTCTAGTTGTTCTTCACGAGAATCAGTTATATCTTTCAACATATCCATTTTAAATCTGAACAATTATTTATTATATTAAATCTAGCACACTTAATGTGCCCAGCAAGATACTTGGGCATAAAGCTTAACACAGATTTTAGATATGTTCTTCTTCTTCTTCTTCTTCTTCTTCTTCTATACTGGCTCCGGGGGAAAATAGGTGTCCCCATACGCCATTCCCAATTTCAGGTATGTTCTTGTTACGTATGTCCAATGGAAAGGTCTCTTTCCAAGAAATTCCCAGAGAACAGGTTTCTGATTGGATGCTGAATACGTTTTTCAATTGGATGTTGGAAACTTATCGGGAACAAAGTTTCCCAATGCATTTTCAATTTCTGAAACTTAATATTTTATCTGAGAGTGCAAAGGGATATCAATTGTAAATTATTTTAAAAAATTCTGAATAAAGCTGTACTGCAAAATTCGTTTGTCCAATCATCCATGAAACTGTGATAATTATCTATATTTGGTACAAAATTTACCAACAGACGGTTATTTATAACTCAAGTTGTTGAGTTTTTCATCGTATACTTTATACGTTCAATTCAATAGAACCAACGTTCTTTATTTTTATTTTATTGGCGTTAACATATACATATTTTGTCGTGTTTGACAAAATTTAAGATCCGTTCAGCGGAGATTCAAACCTCGCGTCATTCGAGCTTTCTACAACGCCGCTGGATGGCATCAGGCAGCCTGTTGGCCACACTTTGTACATTTTGTATACTTGCTGTCATTTCAAAGTGTAGTTTCAAGTCTCCGCTGTGAGACACCACTGTCTTAAAATCTGTATTATAACTCAATAACAACTTGCTATTTTTACCTTCGATTTTTATGATTTAACAGCAAGTCAGACATTTTAATTTTTAAAAAATACTACCTAACGGCGGTTAGTCAGCGGCCCTTTTATTTTCAAGTCTTCAAATCTCGGTGAGTCATATTTTTCATCCAACTGTTGTTTCAAGATTGAATAATTCGATAAAAAAAAAAAACGTGCTGCAATTATATGCAAATTAAAGCGAAAGGTCTTTGGAGATGATACGAATGTCACTGTATAGTGTGTTGCTTTTCGCTTGGATTGTGCAAATTGACAAACTCGAGAGAACATGTCTGAGAACTGGGAGATTTCACGCTGTGAAATATTTTCCGCGCGAGCCATCTCGTTTCTGCCTATGCTTTACTCATTCTCCTCGTGAATTAACGTAGATAAAAAAAGAGGAAAGTCGAGCGAATAGTGCGCAAACATCGCAATCCCGCGATAAATTCGCGTCGCCTCGCATTTCAACAGCATTTCAACGACCTTGATCAAGCTGTAATTATGTAGGAGGAAACGTATCTGCAAACGAACGCTGTCACCTCGAATACACGCTATCGAAGAGAAACCGGATCCGGTTAACGTGGCCTCCCATGGTGATCAAGGAAGCGCTTGTTAAAGCAGTCATCGTAAGCGCATAGACCTGTTTCGATTCCACTGTCCGACGAGTACGACTTAACAATTCCGAGCCGAGCGTTTCGGACAATGAGGTCTGGATCGCACGAAGATGTACATTGAAATTTCATTCAAGCCTGCGAAGAAATATTACGATATTCCTCATAGAGTGCTCTCACGGAGCAAGAGGGTGGTGTGTCCCTTCCTTTCATTAGGATCTGTGCAAGCTCGATAACGCGACCTTAGCGGCGACGTCGCTCCGCGTCCGTTTCAGAAACTCGACAGAAGCGGTCATTTAGTGATTTAAGCGCTTCAATTAGAGGCAGCCGGCGGAAGTCACGGGAGAGTCCTCGCGACGATAAATCGACCGCGAGTATTCCCGACTTCGGCCGGAAAGAAAAGAAGAATCACTAGCTGCCGTGAATCAAAACGACAGGTACAAAAGGCAAGACAAAGTGCCTTCTCGCCGCGAGAGAACCAAATTCGCGTGCGAATCGCGCGGATGTTCCCGTCGGCGTCTCCGTCGAGAAAGGGGAACGTAGGAGTACGAGGGCGAAGATCGGGGCGGAGGGGGCGAGTGGACAGGGGCAAGAGAGACAGAGAGGAGACGAAAGAGCGAGATAAAGAGAGTCGCGGAAGAGAGCCGCGAGGGTGGCGGCAGGGGGAGGGCAGGAGAAGAGAGAGGAGATGGGCGGGAGAGGGAGAGTGAGAGAGAGAGAGAGAGAGAAAGAGAGGCAGAAGGGGGGAGGGCGAGAGAGCGAAATGGCTCTCGACTGCCGCTACCAGACAAAGAAGCCCGTCAAGCACGATGATGGACGCCTTCATGAACGACCCTACGGAGCCCCGTACATCACTTTTATTACCGCCGTCCTCATTTTCATATTTCATATTTACATTTCTAGACCGCCGTAAATCAGCGAATTTATGGGTAATTAGGCCTTTGTGCCGTGTGGACCCACACCGCGACTGCCAGGGGCTCGGGGGCTTATCGAACGATACGGAGTGAGCTGCCGCGGCGGCGGCGGCGGCGGCGGCGGCGGCTTATACCGCGGTGAAGAGAGGGTGGACTTCTCCCTTTCGCATCCCCGCGGCACACACAGCGCGCGTCGACAGCGTCGAATCCGCGCGCCGTCGTCCCTTACTCCGCCGGAGAAACGAGGAGAATGACTTTTCCCGACGAGTTTTCCGAGGCGTAGCCACCGGAGGAGAGCCGTGGGAGAGGAGCGCGCGCGCTCCTCGAGTGTGCGCCTCTCCAAAGAGGATTCCAAAGTTCGCGTGCGCGCGCGGTGCGAGCAGCGCGCTCGCCAAGTTTCCGCAAGTAATAAAAATCTAGGGCAGATTGGAAGGATTGTTCAATTTTATTTACCGCGATGTCCGCCCCGCGCGGAAAAACCCGTGTTAAAACTTTTACATTCCCTTTGTTAAAGCCAGACCTCGCCCGCCCCTCGCCACCCTCGCCTGCCTGGTTATCGCGCTTATTGCGCCTGTCGCGCGATGCGCCCGCTGAAACTCGGCGGCTCTCCTTCCGCGGCTGACGGCGCCGATCGAGCGCGAAATTGACCGCGCATATAGATTAGAATTAGATGCACTCAGCCCGCCATCGAGTGCCGCCGAGTGGGACCACGCGAAAGAGTGGGCGAACAAACAAACGAGACGCTGGCAAATCTCGCGCGTTTAGGCTGGCCGACCCCGGCGACTTGGATTCCTGCATTTTCGCTCACTTGAAGAGACACTCGCGCACCATCGGTCTTCTAGTGATCAAGAAATGAGGGGGAATCGTGACTCTTCCTCATGCGACAGCTATTGACTTTCACGCGAAGATGGACTTTTCCATTCCAAGACGACGCGTCATGTAACAGTCGAGTCCCAGTGACGGAAAATTCGCACGTCGACGAATGCCAGCATTTCGAGCCGTCGCGCTCGCGCGGAGAAGGCGCACGCTAACGGCGAGCTACGAGCCGTTGAGCGTATTACGGCCTCATAAAGGCCTCCGTTAATATTTAATAGTACGTTTTAATGGTGCACGCAGGTGCGAGTACATCGTGTCGTCTACTTTCCGCCCTCCTCGCGCGCCCTAAGTATCTGTTAATGACGGCTTACAACGAAACGGCCAGAGTTCCCTCCTTCGGCTGTTCTTGCTCGTCGCGCGACTCGCGTGCAAGTAGCGCGGCGTTACGATGCTTCTTAAATTACAACCGTGTCAACGAGAGAGAAACGCGAGCGCGGGAGAGGCGCGTTGCTGCCCTGCTTGCCGGCCCTCTCAACCCTCCCGATCCCTCCTCGACTCGTCCCCATAAGCGGTCACGAGGTCGCTCATTTTCGACGGTAGCCAGCTGGGCGCGTCGGCTTTGCGGGCTGACCATTGGATTTTGTCAGAATTTTGTTAAGCTGTCGGCGTGACGCAGCGTGAAAAAAGGCAGGCAGGCAGAGAGGGAGGGAGGGAGGGATTAAGTCCGGCGAAACGAGCAGAGAGATCTGCAAATCCGTTGCATTTCACAGTCAAGGGCTAATGTCGATAAGACATTAATCATTAAATATGTTAAAACACTGCGCGAGCGTTGCGTCTATTTGCATATTTCATTTATAAATCGTGCGTCAAATCTTCATAACATATTTATTGCAGCCAAACGACGCGTTCAATTGCCAAATATTGATCAATATTGATAACTCTCGTGTGTAACGATACATCAGCGTCAGGACATTTGCATTCGCCGAATGCAAATTATTTGATTCGCGCTGCAATATTCGGCAAACCGTCTCTAAACATTTGTTGAATGTTTATCTGCTGCATTAGCAGCTTACAGTGCATATCTAAATGCGACCACTCGCCCAGTACTTGTCAAGCCGAGATAGGTAATGCATCGTACGGATCACGCGACGCGTATGACGATGTAATAATTTATACATCAAATGTGATAATTCTCTACGGTTGTACGTGACAAAAGACAGTAAAATTCGACGCGACCACTGCCCGGCCGAATGGACACGTCTCTGCCAACGGCCGCGAGCCCTCCCCCCCCCTCCCGCCCCCAGCAGTGCGTATAACAGCCGTTTGCGGGACAAAAGGAAGGGATCGCAAATTTCATTGCAACGCGTGCAAAAGTCGAGACGACCTCGCGTCCCGACGGGACATTTCTCCCTGTCGAAGGGAGAACACGGCCAGAAAGCAGAACGGCCGATCGGAAGACGCGGAGGAAGGAGACGGCCTCGTGCGAGCCCGTCAACGGGGGGCGTCGAGTCCGCGGATCGTTCGCGCGTCGATGAGGATTTGACTAACGGTCGCGTCGTCGTCCGGCTCAGGTTTAAATCAAGGGGGGTATCAACGTCTCGTAACCGTCAGTGCCTTGGATAAGCTATCGACGAACGCCGTTGTCGCGGCGAGCAAACGCGTTGTCGCGGCATAATTTCGACACGAAACGCCAGTGTGAATTATACGCGCGATTGTCGCGCGATATAACACGCAACGAAAGCGTGATGAACGATCGGCAGGGTGACCGCCGCTTTCGAAGCCACCGCCAGCCACCGCGACGCCTTCCCGCCCGGGCGGATTCGATATACGCCCCCGCTCCCCCCCCCTCCCGCCCCGCCAGCGACTCTTTCATTAGTCCGCGGCCACACGCTCGTTTCCCGGCTGACGTATCGCTCTGCCTTCGAAGAATAACAATCAATTGTTCCCCGGTGTATTATCGCCGTCTTGTACTTACGCCCCAGCGTCTCTCCGGCCGCGTATTTCATCGCGTATTTC